GTCCTTTGGCCTATCTCTTGTTTCATACCCTTTCCTATTTTCATTTTTTCCACAGTTGGTAGTGGTACCTATATATACCTTTATAAATAAGTTTATGTCATACTGAAGGATGGGGAATTGTTTACAAAGGTGGCTGTACTCTCACTTTGCCTTCTTTCTTGGTTCCATAGTTGTTAGGACCTTACAGATCATCAGGTCCAGGCCCCCTGCACTTAGGCAGGAAAGATTTTACATCTTTTCTATTCCCAACAAATTAAGGTTATTGCGAATAGAAAAGATGACTTTTTCTGTGGGTTTTTTTAAACTCCTGCATTATACTGGCTTTGAAGATTTACTTGCTGCACTTGCTTCAGCAGCAGAGCTGGTAAACTTCTTGATCTTGGACCTAAACTTAAAGCTCCTCCATTGGCCAGGCATTTCTCTATACATAGAAGGATGACATGAGGGCCAGAACCTGAAATGCCTAATAGAGCCATCACATAACCTGACTTTAACTTCCTCGTAATGAAGCAACAGAGTTAACCAACAGGGTGTCCTTACCAGGGGTGGGGCAATGGAGGTTGAAGCCAAACAGATGGTCCCTTAAAATTCTTGTTTAAAAAGTCCTACTGCGCACTGTAAAGTTACTGACCCAACTTTCATCAAAAGTTGGCTTGATTTTTAAGTCTCAGGCCAAGTTTGAAGGAAATATTCAGCCTGGAACAAATGGGGAAAGAGTATTTTTCCTAGACTTGCATAACACAAAAATGTCTGAAATGATTTTACTCAAACTTAAAAAGAGAGGGAGAGAAAATAGTACCTTTGGGTTGTGATCAAGCATGAAAAATGTCAGCACTAAAAGGATTGCATAGAAAAAATTATGAATAAGTGAAGAAAGGGAATTAGCATGGAAGTTGGAATTCAGTCTTAAATATAAGGAGCATTATCAACACTTTCTATAACGCACACATCTTGTCATTTTGTTTCAGACACAGCATTTGTTGCTGAGAAGAAAACGGGAAAACTACACAACTGTTCAATATCCAGTTCTGCAATGCTGTACATGAAGAATCTTGCCTCATGAGTAGACCCACTGGCAACAAATTGATTCCTGATAACAGGAGACACTAATCTTAGACATAAATATTTGCAGAATTGGGTCCTAGGCTACAGCATGAAATTGAATACTATAACTACCTTAAATAAGAAAAGAAATTTACCTTGGCAGTATTAATGGCCCAAATGGAAGATTAGCTAGAGCACTGGGGCTAACAGTTTCATTTTTACCAAAAACTGCTAGGGGAATCTTTAACAATCATAAATATGCAGTTGAATAGTCCTATTGACAGATATACATTCCTTCTATGTACTTACTTTCAGAAACACACATTTATGTTTTCCTGTACATTGATAAATAAATAAAAGTACTTGCATAGGAGTAATGTGCCTTTATATAAATAAGAGTACAGATTACAGAAAAGTGCTATTATTTCCATCTTTATTGTTCTAGGGTACTTGTACACGTGATGCCATTACCATGCACATGATGAAAATGTCACTTTGTGTGGCTTAATGGCATCACACTTACACATGCAAGAGTTTTGGGGATTTTAAATGAATTTACATTGTTGCAAACTAAACTACATCCCAATTTACGATGCAAATTGCAATGATGCAGCTGTCAGCTGTCCCCCCAGCCATGGGAGAGGCAGGCAGGCTCTGCAGGAATAAAGGATTGGGCCCCAGCTCAGGATTGGGGAAGAGTTGGATCGGGCCAGGTGCTGCCTCTGAGCAGGGGCAGCACCTGGCCTACTAGGAGTCTGCCCCTGGGGGGGGGG